TTGCAGGAGATATACTATTGACTCCCTAATAAGTGAACATTGCCTTGTGTTTGAAAAAAAGAATGCAATCGATCAACCGGTTAAAATAATCATGATTATACTAGGTGAATTCATTAAGGCTTCTCCATATATAAAGTATTAAATTATGAAATTAAGGATCCTAGAGGACTAAACTTGAAAATAAGTCTTTAATATTAAACATAGCTGATTCTATTAACCAATTATTAGATTGTATAATTGATTTGAGCAATCGGGCATTTTCTTACGAAAACGCAGATTGAATCATCCCCTAATTAATGGACTAAGATGGTAAAAATCTAAAGTATATGGACTAAAGTGTAAAAGATCTAAAGTGTAAGGGCCTAACTGTAAAAATCTAAAATCTAGGGACCTAAGTATAAAAATGTAATCCTAGAGGGCTAAAAACATAATTTAAGATTCTAGTTATTAATCAAATTAATTATTTTAACCGGAAAGTCAATTTGAATCCCTGGGCATAAAAGCAGTGACCAAATTGGCAATTCCCCTATTTAAAGGACTAAAATATGAAGAAACTAAACCTAAAGGATTAAAGACTTGAAATTAAAATATTAACATACTAGTCAACATAATTTACATTTAAATTAACGAGAAATTACTTGAATGCTTGGACCAGGAAAGAAATAAAAAATAAAGTTAGAATAATTAAAATAAATAGTTAAAAATAAAATAAGTTAAGGAAATAAAATAAATTAAAAAGATTAAAACAATTTAAAATGAATAGATATAACGTGGACAATTTGTTTTGAATAGCCTGAAAAATAAAGAAAAAATATTAAAGTTAATAAGCTAATTTTAAATAAGGATAAAATTGGAATTAAATAAATAAAATCAAGGACAAAATTGTAATTAAATAAATAAATTTTAGATTAAGGACTAAATTATAAATTGATAGAATATTTGGGGGTTAAAACCTAATAAAACCAACAAATCAAAATAGTGATTAAATTGAAATAAATATAAAATTATAAATCTTGTAAATAAGCATTGACTAAAATGCAAGAACACGACAAAAGTGTAGGGACTTGCAAGCAAATAAACCAAAAATTAATAATAGAAAATAAAACGAAAAAAATAACCAAATAAGGACTAAAGTTAAAATTAATTTAAATAAATAACGCGAAACAGGTGACCAAAATGAGCTCGGAGGAAACTCGAGTGACCATGTGCGCTATTTGCCCCTGGCTCCCAAAACGCACAGCTTTGGGGGGAAACAACGTCGTTCCATGGAGTTCGGGCAGGTGCCAAAACAACATCATTTTACGGAGCCTATAAATAGGCTATTTTTGCCTCTCTTTTTTTATCATTTGCATCATTCCCCTCTCTCCTAAAAAAAATTCACTCTCCATTCTCTCTAACCCGTCCAGACGCGGGTGGTGACACCGCTACATAGGCCGTCATTGGTGGCCGTTTTTCACCAAATTTTTGGGAGGGCCTCATCTCAACGTTGGTTATACAAAATTGGGGTCCATTTCATGAGGGGCAGCTCCAAACGTCGTGAAATGAGTCGATAACCCCTCGGCTTCTGAGGCTCCTACCGCCATCGTCCACCGTCAGATTGACTCCGTTCTTCAGTATGTAGTTCACCGGCCCCTTTCCTCTCTTTTGACAATTCAGGTCCGTGAAGGAAGGTATCGATCGTCGACAAAGGGTTCCGACCGAGAAGTAAACTTCTTCCTCTCTATTTTCTTTTTTTGTTTCGTATTTTTTTTTCATGTTGGTTCGAGTAGAAATAAAAGAAAGGCTTGTTGATTTGTTTTGTTTATGATATTTGATTTTGTTTGAATGAAATGTAAAATAAAAAAAATTGAAGAAATATGGATGCTGGAAATGAAGTTGTATATTACTTTTTCTTTTAATCAGGAGAGTCCCCTTTACATTCAATTTGTTCGGTTTTATAAAACCCTATTACAAGAAAAAAAGGAAAAAATAATCTTTCTATTTTTTTTCTTCTTGTCTTGCATGTGAAGTTGATGGAAGCTTGCTGAAGACTGTGGTCGACGATTCAGGTGCTGATCGAGCAGGGGTGGCAGCAATGGACAACAAATTTTACGGGATTATTTTCTTTTTTATTGATTTTTAATATATTTTTTGTATTTTTTTGGGCTTTTTACGTATTTTGTAATATAATAATAATAACAATAATAATAAAATAAATAAAAAATGGTGATTTCAGGAGGCTTGATTAATGTTTTGCAGGTGCAACATATGGCATCAACTTTATCCATTTTTTATATTTAATCAATGCTTTTGGCCTGTGGGGAGTGGGCGACTTGGCAGCAAGAGTAAACATGCATGCATCCAGATAAAAGAAAACGTGACAGTATATAGCCTTGAGTTTGGCTGCATGTATTATTTTATATGGAATAAAGTACATAAATCCTTTTTTCAGTTTGAAATCTTATTCATGGTTTTCTCAACTCTAAAAGAATAATAGAAACAAAACAAAATTTTAAATATACGTTTATAAAATTTAGTCAATTAAAATATTTAATATAACTATTGTAAAAAAACATATTTAATACAAGTAAGTTCAGAAGTTAAAAAGAAACTGTTGTAAAATTCAAAAAACTATATATTTTTAAATAGAAAAGGTAATAAAAAAATAAAGAAATCAGCTCACATTTAAAATATATTATTAAGATAAATATAAATCTAAAATATTTTACTTCACTTAAATCAAATAAAATTTAACTTTATAAATTTGACATAATTAAATTTTTATTATTATTTTGTGAGTGTATAGGAAATTACATTTTAGTTAAAATATGGATAATTTGGTCTGACAAACATCGAAGGTGTACCGTAAATGGTAAGGAGGGGACACGGGCATGTGGTGAGCAGCGTTAATTAAGTTGGAGATGATGGAGATCGGGAAGAGGGCATGGGTTGAAGAATGGGAAAAAAAAAAAATCATCAAATCTGACTCAACTGCTCGCCTACCCCACTCCTCTATATCTCCTTCATTCTATACCTATTAGGGGTGTAAAAGAGCCGAACTCGAGTATTGTTGAGCTCGACTCGACTCGAAAATTCGTTAGTTTAATATTTTCAAGTTCGACTCGAACTCAAAATCCTAAACTGAAGCTTGTGAGCAGCTCGAAAATGCTTGAAATGAAAAAAAAATTAAACTTAACTCGATTGAAACCTCAAACTCGAACATGAATATTAAATACATACAAATCTTACTATATTTAAAAAAAATTAATACATAAATATTAATATTATTAATAATTTATTTTTAGAAAATAAAATCTTAATATATTATATTTTCGAGCTGCTCACGAGCTTTTCGAGTCGAATATCAAGTAACCCGTTTCGGCTCATTAATAACTCGAGTCGAGCTCGAGCTCGAGTCGTGTCCATTCGATCTGAGTATTTATCGAGCTTTGATCGAGTCGATCTCGAGTAACTCGCAATCTGTCTAGTCTCATTTACAACCCTAATACCTATAACCCCTCCACATTTCTAACTTCAAAAATGAATACGATTGATTTGATTGAGCATTTGAGCTTCAGGGTGTGTTTGTTGGGGGAATGTGAGATTCTCATGGGAATGGAATCTACATTCCCCGTTTGGTTGGCCGGGAATGTCATTTCCGGTAATCTTACATTATCAAATGTGGATTTTTTGGGGTATATTACCGGGAATGTCATTACCTCCATTTCCGTCATTAAATAATAAAAATTCTACAAAGGTTAAATTACAAATTTATCCTTAAACTATTTTAGATTTATAAAAAAAATCTATAATTAAAATTTTATATGAAGTTCAGGAGTTAAAATAAAATTTTACCATTTCATTAAACCTTTTTATATTTTCAATTTTGTAAAAAAATTATATAAATTTTATGAAATTAAAATTGTTAAATAAAATATATAAATATTTTCCAACTTGTAATATTATACAAATATATAATAAGGATCAAATACACATTCCAACAATCTTTTATTACTTTAACCAAACACGGTAATCTTACATTCTTGCTAAATCAACCAAACACAAAATACAACATTCCCAGTAATCATATTCTCTAGTAATCTTTTATTCCCAATGATAATCTTACATTCCATGAACCAAACACACCCTTACTTCACTTGGTATAATTATTATAATTTTCTTCGGTTAGTATATTTATTATAATATCTAAAAGATATATCTTAATTTGGGCTAATATAAGAGAATATATTTAAAGATAATTTTCAATCATTTGATATTGAACCCTTATATTACTGATATTTTTATGCTCGAACCTAAGACCTCAAAGAATAACAATAATTTATTTACCACTAAAGCTGTTTGGTTTGTAATATATATATATATATATATATATATATATATATATATATATGCATATTATTTTTATTTATAGATAATTTCAATAGTTTATGTATTATTATGAAGTAAAGATTGGGAGGATGGATTCACATTACATATTTTTGTATTTAATTTGGATTAATTGATTAATATATAAAATACTAATAATTAAGTAAAAAATATAATTATCAATTGGTATAAAGAATGAGACGTTAGATTGATGTCATAAATTTAAATTCCAACGTTTTGAGCGAAAATAATTAAATAACTAAATAAAGTGGATCACTCCATAATAAATCTATATAATATTTGATTTGGATAATTAAAAGATTGAATATCAATAATATTAAAAATTAAAAATAACTAATCTAAATATAAATTGAATACAATAAATTGGTTCATATTTAAAAATAACACAAATTCAAACTAATTAAAAATTTTGCATAAAAAAGTGACGGAATTGATCCAAAGAGAATCCTATTTCATATTTTTGGCTAGAAACCAGAATCCTATTTAATAGGCAGAAACTTGTTCCATTCAATTCTCTCTTGTTAGCCTACTTGAAATCCTTGCTCTTCTCTTAGCTCCTCTTGTTTATATAGCCTTTCTTTTCTCCTACAAAACCTCATCCATCCTTGAACACAATGTCGAGCAGGAGATCACGTTCAAGGCAGTCAGGTGTATCCAGCATCACAGATGATCAGATCGCCGATCTTGTCTCCAAGCTGCAACACCTCATCCCTGAGCTTCGGAGAAGCCGCTCCGACAAGGCAAGAAACGAGGAAGAGAGGCATTTTCTTTATTGATATAGCATACTTTCTTCACCTTTACACTTGACATATATAGCACAATTATAACAACCTCTTAACAAACTAACCACCCTAAACCGTTTCCTAACAGCTTCCCTATGATGGCTAGCCACATGCATGACCATCTACATGCATGACATGCACGAGTATTCTAGATTATTCTAGCTCACGTGCACACACAGCTTATACCTATCTCAACATTCTCTCCACTTCTTTCTTCTCCTCTTCTTTAACAAGCTAATACTTGTAATTTGCCACGAAACTGCTCAAATGCAGCCTTGGTGAGAGGTTTGGTTAATCCATCCGCTATTTGAAACTCAGCAGGGACATAGCTAACACGAAGAGCACCAGCTGCAATCTTCTCACGAATGAAATGCACATCGAGTTCAACATGTTTAGACCGAGCATGACAAACCGGGTTCACGCTCAAGGCTACAGCACTCGTGTTGTCGCACCAAATGACAGGTGCCTCTTGTAGAGACAACCCAAGGTCATACAGCAGCGCCGTAAGCCAGGTCACCTCTGCAGCAGACTCAGCAACGCTCCGATATTCTGCCTCCATGGTTGATCGAGAGACAGTTTTCTGCTTCTTGGAGTTCCATGCAACCAAACACTCTCCAAGGAAGACACTATCCAGACATGGATCGACGATCACTGGCATCACCAGCCCAGTCAGCGTCAGAAAATGCTTTGACACACAGCCGAGCATCTCCTTTTGAGAACACCAACCCATTATCAAGAGAACCTGCTAGGTAACGTAGAATTCGCTTAACTGCTGCAAGGTGACTCGTTCGCGGAGACTGCATGAACTGAGCTGCTTTGTTAACTGCAAACGCAATATCTGGTCTTGTGTGACAAACATACAGGAGAGCGCCCACAATACTCCTATATTCGCGAGCATTAGACATTAGATCACTCGGTTGACCATCAATCTTCGTGGCCACCATGGGAGTACACACAGATGTGGCTTGACTCATGTTGGTTTTCTTCAGTAATTCACATATGTAGGCACGCTGACTTAACAGCAGTCCAGCACCAATCTTCTTGACCTCTATTCCCAGAAAATATGAGAGTTCACCAAGGTCCTTAATTGAGAACCGTAGGCTAAGCAATTGAACGACCTGATCAATAGCTGAACCCGACGTTCCGGTGATGATGATATCATCTACATACACCAAAGCATAAGTACTGCAATCGTCCTGGACTCGAACAAACAGAGAGACATCAGCCTTCGATTCCACAAACCCAAGCTCTAAGAAGCAAGCTTTAAGCTTGTCATTCCAGTTCCGAGGAGCTTGTCGAAGGCCATAGAGGGCCTTCTGCAGCTTAAACCAGTGGAGTTCCATCTTCAGCACATCTCTCAAATCCAGGTGGTTGATGCATGTATACCACTTCGCTCAAGTCACCATTCAAGAATGCATTGTTGACATCCACCTGTCTCAACGCCCAGTCTCTTGCAACTGCCAAGGCGAGAAGAACATAGACTGTGGAGAACTTTACAACAGGCTGAACGTGTTCGAAATCGAACCCTGGAACTTGAGTGAACCCTTTTGCCACCAACCGCGCCTTATATCTATGCACAGTGCCATCTGAATTTCTTTTAATCTTAAACAACCATTTACAACCGACCACACTTCTATCAGCAGGTAGAGGAACAAGGCTCCATGTGTCATTCTTAATCAACGCAGAAATTCATCTTGCACCGCTTCAGACCACGGGCCAGACTGAAGTGCTTCTTCAATCGCTGGGACAATATCATCAAAAACGTGGTGTATATTTTTGGTCGAAACACACCACACTTACTTCTAGTCAACATAGGGTGCCCAGTACCAACCACATCGCTTGTTCTTTATCTGTCGATGGTTGCACTTCCAGGTCGACTTCACCAGCACCAGGTCCGACAGATGTATCAGCAGACTCATGGACATCACTCGACTGTGCAGAACCGTGCCCAGAAGCATCTGCAGACAAGTCAGCAAGTCCCGACTGTCGAGCAGAAGTAGCACACAGTTTGCTAGCATCAGCTACTATGTCAATGGCTTGGCTCAGCGCGAACGAACTCCCAACCGTTCAGTAGAACTGTGCTGAGCAAATGGGAAGCACCACTCATCAAATTTCACATCGAGACACTACAACTCGTTTATTAGGTGTGAGACATAAGTAACCCCTGTGTTGAGGACTTGGCCCCAAAAACGTGCACGGTTGCGACCGAAAGTCAAGCTTACTGTTTGAACGGTCTTAGGTGGGGGAAGCATCGACATCCAATACTTTAAGCGAGCCATATTCAGGCGTCTTGTTGAACAAACACTCGAAGGGGACTTTCCAGCTAAAACCCTCGTAGGTAACCTGTTAATTAAGTGAACTGATGTTACCACAGCATAGGACCAATAGCTGATCGGCATGGACGCTGCGCAAGTAGTACTAAAGCCAGTTCAACCACATGGCGGTGTTTGCGCTCCACGACCATTCGCTCTGACGTGTGTGGGCAGGTAACACGATGAGATACACCAGCTTCTGCAAGCACACGCACAGCCGACGATATTCACCGCCCCAATCGCTTTGTACTGCCGGACTTTCAACCCAAATTGCGTTGCAACGAACTGCTGAATAGGATGAAGGCCTGTGTAGCCTGAGACTTACCTTAAGCAAATACAGCCACGTGTGTCGAGTGAAAGCATCAACAAAACTGACATAATAACCTAAACCCGTTTGAAATAACAGGCGATGGTCCCAAAGATCAGAAAAAATAAGCTGAAAAGGAAGTCATACTTAGTTGAATCCGTGAAGGGAGTTTGTGACTTTTTCCCATATGACAAGCAATACAATTCTCATTAATCTTTTGTTCACAGTTTACATCAATGAGTTTGCAAATTTGCTCGAGAGTGGCATGAGCAGGGTGCCCAAGACGCCTATGCCACAAGTCATACAAATGATTGGAGGAATCAACTTGTTTGCTACAAAACAAGCACTCTTATTCAACTATCATCAACTTGAACAGATATAAACCATCATTCTCCTTCCCATGCAGCAATACATCACCAGTAGCTTCATCACGAACACAGCAGCGTGATGCATGGAATTCAAATACACCGCGTTATCCTTAACAAGCTTCGAGACGGATAGAAGATTTTAGTACCTTAGGTACATGAAGAGATCATTTAATTGTAAAGCTCGAGTAGAAGCACAAAACATTTACCAGTAGCTTGAATTGGCAGTAAACTACCATACCACCACAATTACCTGGTCCTGAGACTCTTTTGTTGAAGACTTGGTTGAATCAGCAGTCACGTGGTGCGTAGCTCCAGAGTCTAGCACCAGTGATCCCTCGTGCTAGAAGCGATATGACTTTGGCGGCTGTGACGAGTAGCATCCATCAAGAGTAGACGGTTCCAGGCTGGTGCAGTTCACTGAACCGAACCACCACGGCTTACAGCTCTTTCGCCGACCGACCAGTAAATGACTGATCGAACCTGTACCAGCAGTCAACGACAAGATGCCCATTTTTCCCACATAATTGACATTGAACACGAGGTCGACCACGGCCCCGACCTCCAGTCCGACCTCCAGCGCTGGTTCCAGACCTGCCAGAAGCCCGATCATGATACACGTGACTTGCAGTCTTCAAGCTAGAGTCAGACTGAACAACGTGAGCACTCATTGGCAGAAGTTCTTCTTGAGCGTCAAAGCCCGCAAGCTGTGTTTCTGCATCGATCAACATCGAGCAGACCCTATCGAGAGATAAGGCGTCTTTCATAGTGGTGATGAAGGCAATATACGGGTGGTACTCTCGGGGAAGACCTTGAGAATACTTGCAACCTGTTCGGCCTGAGGAATAGCACTGTCACAGGAATCTAAAGCATCGCACACCTCTTTGATGCGAGTGAGGTACATTCGCATGCTGTCATGCCTTTCTTGAGTGACTGAAGCTTGTAATGCAGGCTGATGACTGCTGTGGTTGACCGGTTCGCGAAGAACTGCAACACCTTGCTCCAGACCGCCGCTGCCGTCTCCGCTCCAACAAACTGGGACAGCAAGTGTGGGCTGATCGTGGACAATAACCAGGAAGCAAGCGCACTGTCTTGTGCAACAAACTCCTCATGCAACTCTTCACCACCGTATCACCATTCTCAGCCTCAATTGTCTCAGGAGGAGAACGTGCCACGCCTTAGTAACCGCTCCAGCCTATGGCTGCGCACAGTCAGCAAGATTTGCTGTTTCCAGAGTAGGAAATTAGATTCATCGAGAATGATGTTAATTTTTTTGTTTGTGAAGGTCTTTCCAACAGAAGTCTCCATGATCACGAGCTTAGCACAGCAAGCAAGAATCCTCAGAAACGTCCGGCTCTGATACTATGTGAAGCAAATTAAGAATTGCAGAAAACAAACTAACAGAAACGAGGAAGAGAGGCATTTTCTTTATTGATATAGCATACTTTCTTCACCTTTACACTTGACATATATAGCACAATTATAACAACCTCTTAACAAACTAACACCCTAAACCGTTTCCTAACAGCTTCCCTATGATGGCTAGCCACATGCATGACCATCTACATGCATGACATGCACGAGTATTCTAGATTATTCTAGCTCACGTGTACACACAGCTTATACCTATCTCAACTCAGCATCACAGATGATCAGATCGCCGATCTTGTCTCCAAGCTGCAACACCTCATCCCTGAGCTTCGGAGAAGCCGCTCCGACAAGGCAAGAAAAAAAATCTGTTCCCTTTTAGCATACTTGATGCTTTGACATCATCACTGATCACCCTCAAATCCATCGACGCAATTTGATGTCAGTTTTAAACTTAAAAATCTCATGTTTTTATAATCTCTGCTAACTTGTCTTCAGATATCAGCTTCCAAGGTCTTGCAGGACACGTGCAACTACATCAGAAGATTACGCAGAGAGGTGGACGACCTAAGCGACCGGTTATCCCAGCTACTATCTTCCTCAGACATCGATAGCGACCAAGCATCCATTATCAGGAGTTTACTTGTGTAATAATCTGCATTTGTTGTATTGTATTAGTAGTACTAGTAGACGTAGTAATGCAGAAATTACTGTCTTGTCATCAAATATTAATAAAGTTCATCGTCCTATATTATAAAAATGAAAAGACATCTACATTTCCAGAAAACAAAACATATTTAAATTTTATAAGTTGATTTACAGCTTTGGCGTATTTGTATATAAGATTCTTTTATATATATATATATATATATATATATAATATATATATATATATATATATATATATACAGAATTAAATCGTGGTATAAATGTAATTTCAATTACGATAAGTTTATTATAAATGTAGATATAATAAATGTTATCATAGATATTACAGATATCACAAAAATATAGCTACATTTATTATAATTATAGATATAATGTGTTATTACAGGTATTATAGATATCATGATAATATAATAATGGTTTCCAATAACATACGACTATTTAAATATTGTTAAGAATAGAACTGTTCATTCGGTTAAAACTGAATCGAACCGAATTAACCATAATTGAATTAATCGAATTTTTTTCCTTTAACCGTTAACCGAATCAAATTTTTTTTCAAAAATATTAACCGAACCAAATAAATTTCGGTTAATTCGGTTAATTTTCGAATTAACCGAAATTTTTTAAAATTTTCTAATTTATATAAAAATTAAATGTTTTTAACTCAAAAAAAAGTTTATAATTAATTTAAATAATATATAATTATAAAATAAAAATTTCAGATAATTTTTTTAATTAATTAATATTGATTTAGGTTTAAAAGTTATTGGATCTTAAATTATTAATTGGGTTTTAAATAGTTTGGACTGAGTCCATATGTTATATATAATATATTTAATATTTTTTAATTAAAAAATAGTTTACAATTAATTTAAATAACATATAATTATAAAATAAAAATTTTATATAAATTTTTTAATTAATTAATATTGATTTAGGTTTAAAATTTATTAGATCTTAAATTATTCATTGAGTTTTAAATGGTTTGGGTTGAGCTCATATGTTATATATAATATATTTAAAATTTAAAATTTAATTTCGGTTAATTTGGTTAATTAATCGATTTTGAACCGAATTAACCGTTAACTGAATTCTAAAATTTTTTTTAACCGTTAATCGACCGAACTAATTCGATAACCGAACCGAATTAACTGAATTAATTCGGTTCGGTCAATTAACCGAATTAATTCGGTTATTTGAACACCCGTAGTTAAGACTGAAGTAGAGAAGATGGAAAAACAAAGAGGAAGATAGAGATTTAGATTTATGGAGGACCCAGAAAGGAGAACCCAGAAAGGACAACCCTGAAAGGTGATGATAATTATAGGGCTAACACTAGCTTATTTTGCTAATGTTTTTAGGTTTTTAATATACTTGAATGGAAATAACGTATATTAAAATATCTTAAAATATAATATTTTTAGGTACCAATAAAATTATGTTAATCAATAAAAATAGGCAGAATAAAAAAATGGCGCACTTTAAGTTCTCTCTCGGTGCACATTAGCTAGTCTAATGGCGATTGAAGACGACATCATTTTCTTTCACTTATTTTCTTCTATTTCTTGTTGTTTCAATTCATTTGTGCTTTTGTTGGGTAGTGTCTGGTGAGGTAGTTACCAACTGTAGAAAGTTATTTGCGGCAGCGAATGAACAGGAGCTCGATTTCTTTCCCCTTTTGGAGATTGAGGGCTCGACTGTGGACAAACTGCCTCTCTCTGTGTTTGAAGAGGGTGTCTCACAGTGGAGGTATGCTCTGGTGGGCCAATTTGTAGGTTCGGCTCCAAATTTTAGCTCTTTACAGAAGACCATCGAGATTACGTGGGGGAAATCTTCTTCGGTGAATGTCATTTTGGCAGGCTCAATCTTTTTGTATTTTAATTCGTTAATTCAACTACTAGGTACTGGGTTTTAGAGAATGACCCCTGACATGTGCATCATTAGACTGTTTTCCTTCGAAAATGGGAACCAAATCTAAAGGAATTAAGCCTTGATTTAGTTCATATGCCTGTTTGGGTGCAACTTTATAATGTCCCTTTGGAATTATTTCGAATAAGAGACTCAGCTATATTGCGAGTGCATTGGGTAAACCTTTGCACATGGATTCTATAACTGCTTCTAAGGAACGACGTGAGTATGCTCGATTTGTGTTGAGGTTGTTACTGGTTATAAATTCCCAGAGCATGTTGATGTTATGTTATACGATGGATCTATTGTTAGGGTTAAGGTATCTGTTCCTTAGATATCATCTTCATGTATTAATTGTGGACGATTTGGGCATGCAGTCAAATATTTTCCTCATAGTAAAAAGGTTGAGCAGGTTTGGAAAGTCAAAACATCTGTTGCGGGTATGAGTGGTGCAGTAAAGGAGATTGTGGATGTTGATGTAGAAAAAATGGGAAGGATAATAATCTGGCTATGATAAAGCAAATGTGAGTTGTGGACCTGAAAGGAAGTTGAGAGTGTGGCTATGCTAGGTGTGTCTGTTGATTTTGATTTAGTTGGGATTGTTGTGGATGGCAGTGCCACTAATGTTGGAATTGTTGTTCCTAGTAAGAATCAGATTAAGGGAAATGAGAATGCTAAGCAGGACTCTTAGCCTAGGAGAGTAAGAGGTAGGCCTGTTAAGGACCAGGAAAATGAGGTTATTTTGGGTGGATCGAAAAATAAGTTTGAGGTTCTTACTTCTATTGATCCTGAGATGGCTATGACTACTAATGTGAATTTTGGTCGAAATCCTAGGGAAGCTTCTCTTGGTGTTGCCAAATTAATGCGGGACTTAAAATTGAAGAAGAAAGAGCTGTTAGATAAATCAAATAAGATTGTTTATGGCCTAGGTGCTAGTGTTGGGGTTTCTTGTTCATCTCATTCATTATGATTGTATGCTATTGGAATGTTAGATGGCTTAATCACTCTCTTAAGCAGGTAAAGGTTTTGCATCGTGCTAATAGCTGTCAAGCTAATGTTTTATGCCTCTTAGAAACAAGGGTGAAAAGAGGTAAATCTTTGGATATTTTGTATAGTAATTTTTCTTATTGGGATTTCTGTTGTAACTATCATGCTATTAATGGTAGGATGGGTTCTTTGGAGGAAAGGCCTTGATTTTTCTGTTTATCAAGTGACTGATCAAGCTCTTTCTATTAAAGGTTCATTTGGGGTAAGATTTTTTCATCACTGCTATTTATGGTTTTAATGAGGGCACTGTGCGTGAGCAACTTTGGAATCATTTGAGCTCTACGGAAAATAGGATTGGGACGCTACCTTAGGTAATTGGGGGTGACTTTAATATCATTTTTAATTCTTTTGAGAGTTCTAATTCCCTTAGTGCTTTCACTAATTCAGATATTAGTGGCTTTCAAAGTTGTGTGGAAGACTTGGTCTAACAAGCAGCAAGAAACCTATTTTTCTCGTAAGTTAGATCATATCCTTATCAATCCTGATTGGGTTAGTTGTTATCCTGTTTTTTTGTGTGGAGTTCTAAGCCCCTGGTGATTTTGAGCATTGCCGGGCTGTTATGGTTTTCTAAATAGTCTCATATTAGCAAGCCTAAACCCTTCAACTTCTGGGTGCATCATCTAGATTTTCTTGACATTGTTATGGAATCTTGGCAGGTTCCTTGATGGTGACCCCCTTCAGATCCTTTTCCTGAAATTGACAAGGTTGAAGTGCAACCTTAAAATGTTGAATCAATCACAATTTCATGATATTTCTGGAAAAGTTAAGTAGAAAAGAGAGGAGTTGGCTAAGATTCAAACTGGTAACTTGTCTTCTAATGTATCTGTGGTAACATTGAGGCTTAGATTAAGGTTCAGCAGGAATTGCATAAGTTAAAGAGTGTCGAGCTGCTTTTCTACAAGTAGAAAGCCAAAGTGCACTGGCTACATGAGCGTGATCAGAGAACCCGATACTTTCATTCAGTGGTTGTTGCAAAGAGGAAGAGTAATACTATGCTTCCTGATAGTGATGGAAACAGGCTCGCAGGAGGCATTTAGAGGCAAGGTAAAGAAAACCCTAGCTTAGATGGTTATTCTTCCTATTCTTTAAGATGGCTTGGTCTGTTGTATGAGCGGATTTTTAAGGTTGTTGTGAGGTGTTTCTTTGCTACCTCTGTTTTTTTATTTAATGCTACAGTTGTGGTGCTTGTTCCTAAAGTTCCAATCTAGCTTTGGTTAAAGCCTTTAGACAAATTTCCTGTGTTCGATGTATATAAGACCTTAGGATTTTGGTTTCTTGGTTAGCATCTGTTTTCCCTGGGATGATTGCTCTGAACCAGCAACATTTGTGAAGGGGCAGAGTATCGTGGACAATAACTCTTTTTTCTTAGGAGCTGGTTAGAGGTTATCGTAAAATTTATTTTTCACGACTATGCTTTGAAGATCGATCTGCAAAAAGTATTTGATTCGGTGAACTGGGAGTTTGTCAAGGTTGTTCTTCATGCCTTGTGATTGCCTGGGAAATTATTAGCTAGATTTGGGCTTGTTTTACCACTCCTAAATACTCGATTGTGCTGAATAAGAGTTCGGTAGGTTATTTTAAGGGTGCGGGGCATCAAGATGAGTGATCCTATGTCACAATATATCTTTGTTTTAGCCATGAATGTACTATCTCGTATGCTTTATGTTGCAGCTGTTTAAAGGAGTTTTTAGCTATCATCCTAAGTGCAAGAAAGAGGGATTAACCCACCTCTGTTTCCTGATGACTTGCTTATCTTCTGCAAGGGAAATATTGATTCTATTATAGGGGGTTCAGTGATTTGGAAACTTTTACGCTATTTTAGTTTGAGATTAAATGTTCCTAAGTGTGGATCTTCATGGTTGTGGTTTTTATTGATCATAGTGAGACTATGTAGCAGTTCTGGATTCATGTTGGGGAAACTTCCTATAAGATATTTGGGTGTTCCCTTGGTGACTCGAAAAGTTACCGAGAAAGATTTCCTTGGGATTATTGACAAGATTAAAGATAAGTTACTCTTTGGGCCAATCGCACTTGAGTTTTGTTGGA